CCTAAAAATGTGCGGTACCATCACAAATGTACATCATTTTACGTACCTCAAAGCCCGTTAGTAGACTCATAAAGGCATCATGCAACCCGCTTTCGGCGGATGAGATCCTTTCCATCACCGTACCCATCAATGTACAGTGTTCTTCTGAGATGGCCGCTCGCTCCAACAGCTCTCTCAGTACGTCCGACCGCATACCAGACGGTGCCGGACTCTTCTGTTTGCTCTCTTCGAGAGCCAGACGTTGGGCACTTCGGGTGACTATAGGATTATCTTCTGGCCTCACAGGATCCGGAGAGGCCCTCCGTGATGACACTTCAAGGTCGCCCGCTTCTTGAGCGGAGGAGTCCGAGGGAGGCGTTTCGCTCTCCATCTCCGGAAGAAGATCCCCCGAAGATGAGCTCTACTGAGAAGGGCTAAGATCCGAACTACAATAAATACTTCGGTTATTTTCCTCAGAGGCAAGGTAGTATATCTCCACTATTAAAGTACTTTCTGATTACTTACAGCTCGTTGGAGGGCTGATCCCTGCGCGGACTTTGTGCGGCAAGAGCACCCTCCAAGGCAGGACCCTCTGGCGGAGATTTCTTCTCCCGCTTGGAAACCTTGGTTTCCGGATCTTTAGAGGTAGTCCTCTTCCTTCCCCGGGGTGAGAGAATGTCCGATTCCTCCTCTCGGTTATCCTCCCTCACGGAGGCGCTCGTTCCCTCGGTCGGAATGGGTAGCGATGGAGGTCCGCTTTCGCCCTCATTATTCCCCCCTTTGCCTTCCTTTGAGGGCTCCGGGTAAGGTGCTAGCTCGAGCATCTTTTCTAGTACCGGATTTTCCAAACCCTCAGGAAGGGGGGCCAAACACCGAATCATCTTCGCCTTGGTTATCCAGTCCTGGTCAAAGAGCGATTTCTCAAAATGACGTCGTGGTAAACAAAAGACGGTGTGTTCGGCTGAAGGATTACTTACTTGGTCGGCGGTATGGTTGCTGCTCAAGCCCACGTCCTCGGTGGTATCCGGACACTCTATTTGGGGTCCGAAGAATGATTTGTACATCTCCTCGTGCGTCAGGCCGAGGAAATTCTGAATAGTGCGTGGCCCTTCTGGGTTGAACTCCCACATGCGGAGGGGCCGGCGTTTGCAAGGCTGGACTCGATGAACCAGCATGACTTGCGCCACCATAATCAAACTGAAATCTCCTTCGAAGAGATTTTGGAGGTGGCTTTGCAGTACAGGCACGTCCTTGGCAGGACCCCAGCTCAGCCCTCTGCTAATCCATGACATCAGTTGTGGTGGAGGGCCTGAGCGGAAAGCAGGGGCAGCCACCCACTTGGCACTTCTGGGAGCTGTGATATAAAACCACCCTTGTTGCCATAATCCGGACACCTCTGGGAAGGAACCTTTGGGCCACGGAGCTCCTGCTATCTTGCTTATTAATGCGCCTCCGCACGCTGCGTACTGCCCCTCGGCCACCTTTGGCTTCACGTCAAAGGTCTTGAGCCACAGGACGAAGTGAGGGGTAATGCGGAGGAAGGCCTCACACACGACAATGAATGTCGAGATGTGGAGAAAGGAGTCCGGGGCTAGATCGTGGAAATCTAGCCCGTAATAAAACATCAACCCCCTAACGAAGGGATCCAGAGTGAGGCCTAGTCCTCGGAGGAAGTGGGAGATGAACACGACGTCTTCGTTGGGTTCAGGAGTAGGGACGACCTGCCCTCGGGCAGGCAGCCGATGCAAAACCTCGGCGGTCAGGTATCTGGCCTCCCTCAACTTCTTGATGTCTTCTTTCGTAATAGAGGAGGGCATCCACCGGCCTTGAAGGCTAGATCCGGACATGATTGAAGATCCGGAGCACCTGACCTGGGCTTTGGGTGTTAGAACTCGAGGCGGGGGAAGGATTCGATTGAGCACGGGAGGGAAAAAAGTAAAAGCCTTGTCCCTTTATAAAGAGGGTGAATATCAAGCGTCCTCTCCGTAGCCGTTTGGGACTTGCCTATAATCTAGGAGTCCTAGACACGGTTGGGTTACCCACGCTCGTATTTGATGAGAATCCCGTAATAAGGGGACACGACCTTTGCTTTGACAAGACGTGTCGAAAAACTGCCTCGCGTTATGTGCGGGGCTAGTTAAAGAAAACGGTTCGAATAATCACCGGGCCATGGCATAATGTCGTGTTGCCAAAACAAGTCAGCAAATTAGATTTGTGAAAATATTATTCTCTCTATGGTGGTATGTGGAACTTATTTTGTAGGGTCGGACACTATCCTTATATTCAAATTCTTCCGTGGTATATTCGGAAGAGGAACCCGCCTTGCAATGCCGAAGACAATACTGCGCGCCAGACTCATCGTCATTGAAGCCTGGTTCAGGGGCTACTGTGGGAGTCCTGGATTAGGGGGTCTCCGGACAGCCGGACTATCTCCATTGGTCGGACTGTTAGACTATGAAGATACAAGATTGAAGACTTCGTCTCGTGTCCGGATGGGACTCTACTTGGCGTGGAAGGCAAGCTAGGCAATGCGGATATGTGTATCTCCTCCTTTGTAACCGACCTTGTGTAACCCTAACCCTCTCCGGTGTCTATATAAACCGGAGGGTTTTAGTCCATAGGACAACAACAACTACAACACACAATCATACCATAGGCTAGCTTCTAGGGTTTAGCCTCTCCGATCTCGTGGTAGATCTACTCTTGTACTACCCATATCATCAATATTAATCAAGCAGGACGTAGGGTTTTACCTCCATCAAGAGGGCCCGAACCTGGGTAAAACATTGTGTCCTCTGCCTCCTGTTACCATCCACCTTAGACGCGTAGTTCGGGACCCCCTACCCAAGATCCGCTGGTTTTGACACCGACACCCTCCAAACCCTAGGGCGCAGCTAAGGGGGAGAGGACTTGGACTCCAAGTCCGATCCTATTCCTACTAGGACTCCTTCCTTTTTGCCTTCCCTAGTTACATGGGCTTTTGAGGACTTAGTGCACCTGGCCCAATAAGGCTAGGGCACCTCCCCGCAGCCCATACAAGCCCTTGGGTCATGGTGGACCCAATTGTGGACTTCCGGACCCCTTCGGAATCCTCCGGAACCATCTAGAAGCTTCCCGGTACAATACCGAAAAAACTTCACTTTTTCTGGAACCCAAAATATGACTTACCATATATAAGTCTTTATCTCTAGACCATTCCGAGACTCCTCGTGACGTCCGTGATCTCATCCGGGACTCCGAACAACATTTGGTTACCACTCATCAAATATCCCAATGCTACTCTAGCGTCAGCGAACGTTAAGCGTGTGACCCTGCGGGTTCAGGAATTATGTAGTTATGACCAAGACACCTCTCCGGTCAATAACCAATAGCGGGACCTAGATGCCCATATTGATTCCTACATATTCCACGAAGATCTTTTATCAGTTGAACCTTTATGACAACATACATAATTCCCTTTGTCTGTTGGTATGTTATTTGCACGAGATTCGATCTTCGGTATCTCTATACCTAGTTCAATCTCGTCACTGGCAAGTCTCTTTACTCGTTCTGTAATACATCATCTTGCAACTAACTCCTTAGTCACTTCGCTTGCAAGCTTCTTGTGATGTGTATTACCGAGAGGGCCCAGAGATACCTCTCCGATACACGGAGTGACAAATCTCAATCTCGGTTCACGAACTCAACAGACACCTTCGGAGATACCTGTAGAGCATCTTTATGATCACTCAGTTACGTTGTGACGTTTGATAGCACACAAGGTATTCCTTCGATATCCGGGAGTTGCATGATCCCATGGTCGAAGGAACATGTATTTGACATTAAGAAAGCAGTAGCAATAAACTGAACGATCATATGCTAAGCTAACGGATGAGTCATGTTCATCACATCATTCTCCTAATGATCCCGTTATCAAATGACAATTCATGTCTATGGTTAGAAAACCTTAATCATCTTTGATCAACGAGCTAGTCTAGTAGAGTTTACTAGGGACTGGTATTTGTTTATGTACCCACACATGTATTTAAGTTTCTGGTCAATACAATTCTAGCATGAATAATAAACCTTTATCATGATTTAGGAAATATAATAATAACCGTTTTATTATTGTCTCTAGGGCATATTTTCATCATCTGGGGGATGGCACCGGCACCTGCTCGGGTTGGCGGCGGCTCCTAGCCTCCTTCAAAGAGGATTACTATGGGAGGGGAGGGGAGAGTGAGAAGTGAGGGAACAGGCTGACCTAAAACACCCAATTTTGGGGTAAAGGAGGGAATGGGCCAAAATTTTGGAGCCCAAATTTCCCTTTCCCTTTCCCTTTATTTAGTTAACACGATGGATAAGGTGTAATGGCATCCGTGATCTACAGATTCAGGATTAACTAGCCGATTAACTTAAATATCGGCCGATATTTAATTCAATAAATATTGTTATAACAATATATATCAAGTATAGTAAATCATATGTATTTTAAATTTTAGTTGCCATGTTATCAATCCAAATTTTCATCAACTAATTCCTGCAGCAACACGCAAGTTATCCTCTAGTTAATCATAGTGCTCGGGAAGGGATAGAAACGCCGAACTATGCAAATCAACTGCTGTAGCCACTGAGAATATACCGTTAAGGATAAAATTGATGAATTACATACAATCACCACGGCAACATCCCCAATATGACAGCAGCCAATATACTACCTACATCACCGACTGCGCCCCCTCTAATCTATGATCACATCGGCTAACACTTGTGCCGCCTCTGTGAAACACAGACTATCACATTCAGCTATATGTATGACTTTCTTCAATTTTGCTCTTATACTCACTAACCTCTCAGTACAGCAGAGCAGAGTGGTGCAGCTTCCTGCAAGCCAGCTCCCATCTTCTGACAAAAATGCATTTCACCATTAGGCTACCTAAGTGGGAAGCATACCGACAGCATCATCGTTGCAGGAGACTCACGAACCCTCGATACCAAGCTTTCACCGGGCGAGCATCAGGTAGCCTACCCCAGGATTTTAGTCAGCCTGTGTTCAGTGTTGTTGAGCCAGCAAGAGAAACATTTTGGTCCATCACCGTTTGCCTTTTCATGAAGACAGCATACAGAAGCTCGTTCCAGGTATCAGGAACTCCAGGCAAGCACCAATGGCTGCAATCCTGCCTGTGCAGAGGGACAGGCCCTGAAGGGCTGAGGTATACTGAGAGGTGACCATCTTTTCGCTGTGATGTCATCTGTGTCACGTTCAATATAGCTAACCCAGGTAGCTTGGGTCTGATGCTGCTCCCAAGAAAATTATGCACAGGTTGAAGCATGTCAGCCCATTGCTCCAGTGATTTAACTGGTGTCGCATCAGGAAGAGTTTCCAAGTGGCAACTCCCTCCACTCCTCCAGTCACCACCTCTGAGGAAAACATGGATTACTCTAGTTAAAGATCAGTCAATTTACTCATGTATTTAAATAGTTAAATAGATTTAAAAAAATCAAGAACAAGAGAAATTGATGAAATGTTTGATAGCATAGAAATCAGGAAGCCAACATTTATTTGCCTTTTAAGTGCCTATATAACCCATACTGTCATATATTGTATTTGGTAAAATTGCAAAACGGCTGGTGAAAGATGGATCATATATTGAACAATATGTTTTGGTGAAGTGAAATTCATAAAGCTTTGAATAAAAAATATAATGAGTAAATTCTGACTCCAAAATTTATTGTGTCAAACCAAGCAGCCTGTGATGATTGTTTGGGGCCTTGAAACATAAGCACTCTCAATGAAAATGCTTTAGCAAGGAAACATAAAAAGGAAGACGTAGCGTTCACAAGTCGTTCATTGTACAGACCTGAAGTGCACAGGAGCATAAGTACGGAAGATGACGTGGGTCTTGCTTGTGTTAACTTCTTTGTGAAGCCAATTGAATAGTGTCCGTATTGATTTTTGGTACCCATCAGTAATAGTCATCTCCATCTTGACCTCACTTCCTTCTTGGAAATAGGCACCCCTGGTACAGACAAAGTAACCCTAGTTTTAAGTCGATTACGGCAGATGCAATTGTGGTGGTTCCACAAGAAATGAACCACAGGTAAAGATATCATCACATAGATCAGGTTGGGGGCCAGAAATCGCATACTATTAAGTTCTATGTATGTTTTATTAAAGAACAAAAGAGTTCATAGGCCTATTTTTTAGTGTATTTAGCTGTAACCACATCTTAACATCCCATACCCTCAGTAGTTTCATGAATCATGCTATCACAATTCTGTTAAACAACTATCAGAAAAGTATACATGTGAACAAATTACAAGAGTGTGTATACTAATCAAATGCTACTCTGCTGGTGCGTATACTAATCACCAGTAGATGTTAATTTCGAATATGAAAGGTGAATTCGTGAACACGAAGAAGGTGATGGTAAAAAAAAAGGACGACGTCTACAAGAAACATTTAAACTGAGACAGGACAAGTTATTAAGTCAATATGTATATTCTTAGTTGCTTACCCTCGGATAGTTTTCTCGTAGTTCCACCAATGCCCAGTGTTAAAGATCAAAATATCAGCACTGCTCCACTTACCGCGGCCCGACATCCAATCCATGGCGTCCACCCTAACTGTGTACTTAACAACCTTAGGGGCTCCAGCTGGTGCACGGCCTTGAAGGACTATAAAAGGAGACCTGTAATACTCCACAGTGCAATTGTAGTCGCTAAACTTGAAAATCAAGAAACCCATGTGCTTTGTGATGGGACTCCCATTAATTTCATAGATGGACTTCTTGTTAGGAACAGCACTAGAGAGCATACAAAGCAGAGACTCCCATTGGTTCCTTCCAATTGAATCACCAACAAATACCACCCTTCTATTCCGTAGCTTCTCGAGCATAAATTTGGCATCGAATCTAGGAAATGGGAGGAAAAAAGATTTAAGTTAGAAGCTGAGATAAATTATGCTTAGAGGAGAAAAGCATATTGTTCAGGTTGTTCCGCTCACAAACATGATTAGCAGTAAGCAAAATCATGAACTTACATAATACAAAGGAATTGATAATCAGCTGTTATTTCGAGGATTTCAATTTGCAAAGAGTTTCAAGTTGCTCAATGGCACGGCACTCAGTAATATCATTACTGTGATTATTCTAAGTAAAGGTGGACTATATCACAATTCACAAGCACCATATGTCAGAGTTCAAAGTTCATTACAATGCACTGCTCTTGAGTTTCACCATAAAGGCTCATGATTTGTCTGTCCATTAGTGATGTGCTAAGCACAGTAAACTATTTGCTGCAGTCACAGTCATACACATTATAAGATCCAACACATGCACCCGTCCTCTTACATGTTGCAAACATGCGGATTTCCTAAATTACACCATCATTGACACAAATTAAATGGCAGCAAATAGTGGCACAATGTGTTGTTATTTAGCTACTCATGAAATGATGGTGACCCATGGTAAAGCATGGCTACAGTCAGCACTAGCCCCATGTAACTAACATCATCATCCCTAATTGTTTGGTAGTAAAACTATACGACATAATGCTGCTGATGGTATTAGATGGCGATTTATTTCATAAAATTAATTTGGGGTGAGACTTGTATTGCCTACTGAGACATCATTTTTTAGAAAATTAAATTTACGTATTAACTTCACCTAAATTGGGTTGGGTTACCCAAAGAAAAAGAAATCTGCAAACATTCAACATTCTACAATTGCATGAGGATTCCCATCAAATTAACTACCCTAACATAGCAATATTCCAGCATAGCTATGTAAGTTGTGTTCGAGAAAGAATAGCTCTGTGAGATAGCCTATAATTGTACTCCCTCCATTCGGAATTACTTGTCGCAGAAATGGATGTATCTAGACGTATTTTAGTTCCAGATACATCCATTTCCAAGACAAGTAATTCCGAACGGAGGGAGTAGTTATGAGGGACAACGAAATAACTTCAATTAAAGGATATTCACATGCATGAAAACAAGAAATTTAACTAAGAAAGCTAACCAACAACATATCCCACATTTCACCGTGCAGCTGAACATAACACTAACAACAGAAATACCAGAGGACTTGGCAAATTACAGGAAGAGACCACTTCCAATCACATGTGGTAAGAAAGATGGCAACATCATGTCAGACCCAAATAATTGAACAATATCATTATTTTCCCGAAGGCTAACTCACGCATAACATTATTTTCCCGAAATAAGTAATATATTTACCCGAAGACTAACTGAGTGCATAACATTATTTTCTAAGTCAATCAGAGCAAAGAGTTAAAGGGTATTCACAATCATACTGTGCAGTGCCGACTCCAAAGGTGAGACGGTCACCTGCGGCACCGTGTTCGGATAATCTAATACTCCCTCCGTCCCAAAATAAGTGTCGCTGATGTAGTACAACTTTGTACTATATCAGCGGCACTTATTTTGGGATGGAGCGAGTATTAAGTAGGGTTAAGATTATAAAATGCACACCCATGGATCCACATCTCACAAGTCAGAACTACTGCTGCAATTTTAATTCCCGTTATATAGAAAATGCACCATGTTGATTGCTAACTCTGGGCATCGTTAATTCAATCAGAGCAAAGTGTGAAAAGGTGAGTTCCCAATCGTACTGTGCAGTACCAATTCCTAAGGTCAATCGGTCGTCCGCAGCACCATGTTCGAATAATCTAATGTTTAGTAGGGTTCAGATTATAAAATGCGCACCCATCTCACAAGTCAGAACTACTGCTGCAATTTTAATCCCCAATATGTACAAAATGCAACATGTCGATCGCTAGATTGCATCACGTTTATTTAACAAGCCATCGCCATCCTAATCTCTTCTTTTTGACAAGTTCGCCGAAGAAAGTGCTAGAAAATCCCAACTGGAAACTATAAACTGCAAAGCCAACCTATCCACGTGACCAAGGACCCGTAATGGATTGGAACTTGTGAATACAAATGCGAATTGTGCATTCACCTCACCAGAGAGCGCCACGTTGAAATTCATGATTGACAATGAATTTAAGGTTCTACTAGTGACTAGAGATTTCTCTTACTTACACAACAAGCTTGGGAAAACAACAGATTCAAGTCGATTCTTAAAAAAAACACAGAGGGGGTACTAGTAGCAACGGCACAAGCAAGAAGTAGTGAAGTCCAACCAACCTGGGTAGATCGCAGCGCGACGGCTGCCACCGCCATTTGACATAGGAAGCGTCCGGCCGGCCGTTCTCCGAGCACCGGAACCCGACGTCTAAGAAGGGGCAGTCCTTGGACTCGTAGAGCGGGTAGGTGTCATCCCACACCCAACTCCCGTCGAACAGGTCGCACTCCTCCCCTACCACCATCGCCGCCGCCGCCGCCGCCGCCTTCTTAACGGCGCCGCTCCCCCTCTCCGCCGACGGCGACGGCGACGCCTCGGCCGCGATGGAGACCCCGCCGCTCCAGAGCCTCCTGGGCGCCGCGAGCGCGTAGTCGACGGCGGCGGAGCAGCGGAGCGAGGCGGCACAGACGAGCAGCAGCAGCGCGGCGGTGGCCGTGGCCACCACGGCGAGCCCCACCATCCCGGCCTTCTCCAGCGGCCTCCTCATCACCCGCCGCGCCAGCCGCTTCGTGGGCGACCCCACCATCGCCCCTCCCTTCCCCTCCCCTCCCCTCCCTCGCGAAGCAAGGAGAGAAGAGACCAACAGCACAGACAAGAGATCTCCTCCTCCTCCTTGGCCGGCGGAGCGCGAGCAGCAGGCTAGCTAATCACGAGCACCCGCGGCTTGTGCGTGCCTGACATAAAGGAGTGGGAAGTTGGAGGGAGTGGGGGAGGAGGAGGAGAGGGGAGTTGCAGAGAGGCCGAAGTTTATGAGACGAGACGGGGATGTGGACGAGCGGGGGAAGGAAGCAGCAAGCGAATCATCTGCGTTTTGATTTGGGGGAAAGCGATGCGTGTGGGGAGTATTTGGCATGTACTACGACGGCTAGTTCCAAGTACCCCGTTCGTTCGCCATCATGAGCCATTACGGCATTACGGGTTATGTGTTGGTGTGGGTGAGGGGCCGTGGAAAGAGGGGTAAGGTAGAAGTGGAGGCGGGGGAGAATGCTGGATGGGAAGCCTGCAGATCCGGACGTGCCGGCTAGGATAGGTAGGAGTAATGAGTTGGTAATCCACGGTCAAATTTTATGCTAGTACTAGTACTAGTATGATTGGAAGTACCAGTACTCCAATTGTCATCAAGTTACAGCATGCAACTTCTAATCCTTGTCATTTGCTCACCATATCTTTTATTTATTTATTTTTAATTCATTTGCTCACCATATCTGGTTTATACTTTATAGGGCATGTGTGGCTTGTTTACTCCTTAATTTGATTAATGAAGCATGTGCTATATGTCACCAACGACATATTATTAGATTTACGTTCGAATGTAGGAAAGAAGATTGTTGTTTCTTGTGAGGAAAACATGTTAGTCGAAATGGCTCCTTGGCATTATTGGAACTGAAACATAAATTCAATATTGTATCAGTGCAAGGAGGTCTCAAGTTGAAGATCAATACTCCACGTCTACATCGACTCCACGTCTAGGGTCTAAAGGAGTCTGCACGTGCGAGGAATTGTTGAAAATATATTGTCAGCGTCCCTCCACCAGTTTGGACTTTTAGATGAAATAATTGGAGCATGCAGCGACACACGCAAAAGCACACAGCCAGTCCTAGGTGAGTCTATGTCGGGGCACAAGTTGGATTGACATCATGCACATGCAGGTAGATAGTGGTCGTGTGCCCACCGGCGAGGGCTCTCCGTGACCTTGTCGGATACGGGGATAACGTGGCTGGCTACGACATCGCTGACGAAGACAAGGAAGCAAATTGACCAGTGTGCATGGGGAAGGCTTTTAGTTTTGATCGCCACCCATATTAGGCACCTAGTCAAGCTCGAGACATGGAGCTGCGTAGTCGCCAACAAGGGCTCACCAAGACCTTGTAGGAGGCAGGGACGTCGATGCTGCCTGAGGAAATAAGATTTGAAGGAGGAGGAAGCCAACAACATATATATTTTCCAAAATATCCACACATGAATTTTTGGAATTTGCCAAAGAAAAAGAGATTTGCCAAGAGGGGAGCCATCAAAATAGGAAGTTACATAAAAAAGAAAAGAATTGAGCGTGATGGAAAATAAGGCAGTTTAACAATTATGGCACTAAGGGGGTCCGGGTATTGCATAATTCTTCAAGCTTGGTGAGCTAGCAAAGCAAGATTGAAAAGCTCAAAATCAGGAAAAACTGAGGCTACCCATGAACTGAAGTTGTGTCATAGAATCCCATGATACTCATGCGGGCTTGCGGTTGCCATCTTTACTGCCCCGTCATAACTTTTAGATAAGTGAAGTCAAATGTTTACATAGGCCTCTTGGAAGTTTGAACCATGACATGAAATATATTAGAACAACTTTAGCCACAACCTTTATCAAAACTTCTTTACCTGTAGCCGACCTGGTCTTCTCGATCAAACCAATAACCTTTTTCAGAGTCTTATCTTTGAGGTAGTTAAAAGAGACATTCCTTGAAGAGCCAACATCTTAAGGCAATCCTAGGTACCTTTCACTCAAGGATTCATTAGGCACATGAAGGATATTCTTAATCAATTGGACGGGTACCATTGGGGCAACCCTTACTAAAAACATAATAATTCATCATGATTGATACGTTGTTCATAAGCCCGACAATAATTATCCAACAAAAGGGACACCTCATCCCATCTCCCAGTGCCTTGACGAGCAACAGGTTGTCGTCTACAAACAAAATGTGATTAACTGACGACTTTGATGCTTGCAAGGTTTGACGACTGAACACTAGATTTCAAAAGACATGAAAGGCCCTCTGCTGCCAACAAGAAGAGATATGGTGATATTGGATCACCTTGATGATACCTCTCCTAGGTTTAAAAGACTCCATTTTTTACCATTGAACAACACTAAAAAGGATACTGAACTGAGCATACCCATGATAATGTCAATCCATGGTGAACAAAATCCTAGCTTTGCCATGACAGCTCGAAGAAAAGCCCAATCCGCTCAATCACAGGCTTTCGTCATATCAGGCTTTTAGCACAAAGTCTGTTCTTTTAAGCTTTGTTCCATTTCATGAAGTGTAAGCACTCATACCCAGAAATGATATTGTCGATGATGAGCCTTCCAGGCACGAATGTATGATTGCTCTTACGATATAATGTATGGATGATCTAATTTTTTGAGGGGCAACAAAACTTTATCTAATTAGGAAAACTTCGGGAATACAAATAATATCTGGTAAAAACAAAAGACATATGTGACGACCAAAAGTGTAAGTGATAGTTATCGACTAGAGGGGGGTGAATAGGCGATTTTTATGCAAGTCTTCAAACCATGAGGTCTTTGAAGACAAACAATAGAAATGAACCTATTGATATGGAGCGGAAGGTAGACTACACTAGACAAGCCATAGTCAAGTGTGCAATGAGGTGAAAGCACGAAGACTATCAGCAGCTATGTAGTATGGATCGGGATGGAAGACAGTATGAAACCAAACAATAAACAGTCTTCACTCAGTGAAGTCAATCAGATCATACAGGCAATGACTTCACGAAGACAAATTGTAAAGTAAAGGGAAGTGAAGGATAGAACCAGTTGCTTGGTGAAGACAAGGATTTGGTAGAGCAGTTCCAGATGCTGTGACAATTGTACGTCTGGTTAGGGAGGCTGAGATTTAACTCAGAAGACCGCATCTTCACCTTATCCCCCTTGAGCTAAGGACACACAGTCCTCGCCCAATCACTCTGGTAAGTCTTCAAGGTAAACTTACAAACCTTCAGAGACTTCGTTCACCGGCGATCCACAATGACTCTTGGATGGTCAGAACGCGACGCCTAACCAGCTGTAGCATTCACAATCCTCAAGTGTAACAAGTCTTCAGGCCACGCAGATAGAAAGACTTCAGTGATGCCTGATATGTCTCCAACGTATCTATAATTTTTGATTGTTCCATGTTGTTATGTTATCAATCTTGGATGTTTTATAATTATTTTATAGTCATTTTATATCATTTTTTGATACTAACCTATTGACATAGTGCTAAGTGCCAGTTGTTGTTTTTTCCATGTTTTTTACATTGTAGAAAATCAATATCAAACGGAGTCCAAATGCCACGGAACTTTACGAAGAATTTTTATGGGCCAGAAGGAACACAACGGGCCCTGGCTACACCTGGGGGTGCCCCGAGGGGGGCACAACCCACAAGGGCGTGCCAGCAGGCCCATGCACGCCCTGGGGGGTTGTGCTCACCTCGAGTGCCCCCCGGACCGCCTCTTTGCTCTATAAATACCCCAAAAATCCTAGAACCCTAGGGGAGTCGACGAAATATTCATCCAGCCGCCGCAGAGTCCAGAACCACCAGATCCAATCTAGACACCATCTAGGATGGGGTTCACCACCTCCATTGGGGCCTCTCCGATGATGCGTGAGTAGTTCTTTGTAGACCTTCGGGTCCGTAGTTAGTAGCTAGATGGCTTCATCTCTCTCTATTTATTCTCAATACAATGGTCTCTTGGAGATCCATATGATGTAACTCTTTTGCGGTGTGTTTGTTGGGATCGATGAACTTTGAGTTTATGATCAGATCTATCTTTTTATATCCATGAAAGTATTTGAGTTTCTTTGATCTCTTTTATGCATGATCGCTTATAGCCTCGTATTTCTTCTCCGATATTTGGATTTTGTTTGGCCAACTTGATCTATTTATCTTGCAATGGGAAGATGTGCTTTGTAGTGGGTTCGATCTTACGGTGCTTGATCCCAATGACAGAAAGAGAAACGACACGTATGTATCATTACTACTAAGGATAAAACAATGGGGTCTATCTCTACATAGATAGATCTTGTCTACATCATGTCATCGTTCTTATTGCATTACTCTGTTTCTCCACGAACTTAATACACTAGATGCATGCTGGATAGCGGTCGATGTGTGGAGTAATAGTAGTAGATGCAAGCAGGAGTCGGTCTACTAATCTTGGACGTGATGCCTATATAATGATCATTGCCTAGATATCGTCATGAGTATTTGAAGTTTTGTTAATTGCCCAACAGTAATTTGTTCACTCACCATTTGCTATTTTTCTCGAGAGAAGCCACTAGTGAAACCTACAGCCCCCAGGTCTTCTTTCTCATATATTTGCCTTTGCCATCTACATTTATCTTGCATTTATTTTCAGATCTATTAATCAAAAAACCCAAAAATACCTTGTTGCACTTTATTTTATTTGTGATCTATTTATTTAATCTATTACAACTTTCCCCCGTCCGTGCACCATTTCTGGCACCGTTACCCGAAAGGGATTGACAACCCCTTTAACACGTCGGGATGCGAGGATTTGTTATCTGTGTGCAGGAGTTGTTTACGTTGTGTTGCTTGGTTCTCCAACTGGTTCGATAACCTTGGTTTCATATCTGAGGGAAATCCTACCACCGTTGTGCTGCATCATCCCTTTCTCTTTGGGAAAATACCGACGTAGCTTCAAGCGACATCAAAAGGATTTTCTGGCGCCGTTGCCGGGGAGGATCTTCAACATATACCAAGTTCCTAATCACAAATCTCATCTCCTTGCA